CGTTTTGCTGAAAGTGATAGTATTTTGTTCTTTTTATGGCTGAATAATATTCCATTGTGTATAATACAATTTTTTTTTTTTTTTTTTTGAGCCAGAGTCTTGCTATGCAGTTCAGGCTGGCCTTGAACTCAAAATTTGCAATGATCCTACTGCCTCAGCTTTCCAAGTACTGGCATACAATATTTTTTTTATCCATCCACTGTTGATGGGCAACCAAGCTAGTTCCATTTCTTAGCAATTGTGAAGAATGCTAAAACCCCAGTAGTCTCATAGCGGGACCCCTCACCTCCTTCTCACCCCTCTCATGCCGTCCTTTCTATCTACTGCTGCCAGCCAGAGCGCTCTGTCCAAATCTCAGACAGGACCATGTTACTTCCCCACTACCACAATCTCTGGCTCCCTGCTGCTCCCGGAGCAAAGCCCCTCTGCCTGGCACAGGCCTTCCCACCTCACTCGCCTCCTCCTCTCAGAACCAAACCACCCCGGCTTCCCCCCACCAACAACCCAGGCCTTTGTTTGTGGCATTTCCTTCTCTGGAAATGCCCCTCTCTCATTATCTCACCTAACTGATGACTCCTATTCTACCTTCTGCACTCATTTTTATGCTGTCTGCCTAGAGGAGCCTCTTCCCAGTTCCCACCGTCCGCCACCACCCCAGGCTAGGGGTCCCTCACGCTCTGGCAGCTGCCGGCACAGTGCCCTCCATTCTGTGGAAACTGAATTTCCTTGGCTGTATTTCCTGCCCCTACTTCTTGTCTAATTTTGCACCCCAAGAGCTAGCCTGAAGTAAGCACCCGGGAAACCTTTGCGTGCCTCCATCCCTCGGATCCTGGAAAGCCTCAGGACCCCATTGCTCGCTCCCCACTCAGCAACTCACTCACCTGTTTATGAGGCCAGCTGTTTATTGGCTGCCTACCATGGATGCACCCGGTGAGGGGGTGCAGACGCACACCGTCCTCCTCCCTCCTGAGCTCACAGTCTGGTGGGGAGAAAAACACTAATCAACGATCACACCTATATAAATAGAGGCTGTGATAAGCACTTGGAGAGGAAGATCGTGGAGCCAGGAGAGCAGATCACCAGGGCACTGAAACCTAGCCTAAGGATGGAGAGGCATCTCCCTGAGGAAGTGGCCTTTCTGCTGAGTGCTATGAGTGGCTCTGAGAGATGCTTCCAAGAAACATGACTGTGAAGTGAAGGAGAGAGGCGGGGGGAGCTGAGAGGGACAAGGCACCGGCAAAGGACATTCCCGTTATCTTCTGCTGCCTGGGATACCCCAAAACCTGCCAGCTTTACCCACATACATTTTATCACACCTCATGACTTTGAGGGGTCGGGGTGCCCCAGTGGCTAGCTGTGTGATCCTGCCAATGTGGCGCTGACAGAGCTCACCTGGTGACAGATGGGCCAGTTTGGATGGTTCAGGATGGCTTTACTCACATGTCTGGCATCTTAAAGATGGGTAGGAGGCTGGGCTTAGTGGGTTCCACTGACTGGTGCCTCTGCCTGCTCACAGCCTCCCTGGCATGGTGACCTCAGCATCACCCAGCCCTCTGCAGGACAGCTCAGTGCACCAGTGATCAAGGTGCAAGGTACTTGGCCTCTCACAACCGGGCCTCAGAAATCACACAGCATCACTTTGGCTGTGCTCTGCAGTGGGAGAGTTCCCAGCCCTCTCAGACTAGAACCGAGGGACGTGGGCGCCCACCTCTCCTCAAGAGCAGTGGCCACGTCCCTGCAGTCAGGTTTGACAATCTCCATGACGATTTCAGTTAAGTGAGAGAAAAGACAATGTATTAAGTGCTGGCAGCAAAGAAGAGGAGTTAGGAGCTGCTGGAGACTGAGAGAGAGAAAGGATAATCAATTGTGTTAGGTTTGCTGAGGAGGCGACTGAAACAAAGACAGCTAAGTTTCCATTTTCCCTGACTCTGCCCACCTCACCCCCATTCCCACCCCGGGCTTCTTCTCCCTTTGCTGTCATCCGACAGCAAGCTGCAGCTGCTGGCTCTGAGCTGGCTTGGTGGTCCTCTTGCTTATAGGCCAGTCATCCTCAAATCCGGCCCTACAAACGGCTCCTGTGGTCACAGCCTTCTCAGTTTGCAGAGCAGCAGTGTATCATCTTCCTGGAAGACGGTCTAGCACCTATTTGTAAAGATCTCACCTTTTCCCTGGATTTAAATCATTTCCACTTAATCTTGTGGTCTACTAGGAAGTTCAGGCTTTTATCTTTCAGTTGAAAAGCAATCTGTCTGGTTGCACTGAGCAGTAGTGGGTGATAGTTCAGCACCTCACAGTGGCTCCTATTGACTTGAATCCTGGCCTTCAAAGATTACCTAGGCAGCCACCCGGGGCAGCCAAACCAACCTCAAATCTCTTAATCTTTCCTTAAAGCTCCCATTTCGGGTTCTCTTCACTGAGGACCGCCCTGGTTTTAATCCATTTGAGACCAGCTCCTGACACTCAGCCCTAACATGGTCCAGCACCTTCTGCGCACAGATGCACGGTGACCGGGGTGGTGAATGAGAGGCCGGGCTTCAAACTGAGGCAAACTCGAGTTCAAATGTAGCTTCTGTCCCTGCATAACCCTGGGCAAGTGGCTCAGTTCATCTGAACTTCAGTTTTTTCATCTGAAAACTGGGAAGTAATAATAGGTGTGTTGGTTAGGCGTCTTGGCACAGGCCTGTCATCCCAGCACTTTAGGAGGCTGAGGCAGGAGGATTGCAAGTTTGAATCCAGCCTGGGAAATTTAGAGAGGCTATGTCTCAAAATAAAAAATAAAATCTAAAGGCCTGGGGATGTAGCCCAGTGAAAGGATCAGGTTCAGCTCTGAGAACCATAAAACATAATAATAAGCTTATTAGTGTTGTAGTGTTTTGAGAGAAAGTACATGGAGCTGCTGACTTAGGGGAAACACGGGAGTTTAGAGGGCTCTGATAAGGTCTCGTCCTGAGATGACCTGACTCGTGGCCACACCTCACACTGCTTGTGGACTGTCCTCCAAGCACCTGAGATGCTGTCATGCAGTAATGCACAAAACAGACCTCCGGACCTCGGCCTTGAGGCACATCCCAGAGAGCTTCAAGCTGTATCCACAGCCCATTTGCTTCACTTGCAGGGCGTTGGTTCTGCCAGTGCAGCATCGCTGTTGAGCAGTTAAATGCATTTACCATGCACCCTGGTCAGTGGGACTTGGGTCAAGACCTACAGGAAACCTAGCAGCTCTCAGAGCCCAGGGTCCCCTGTGTGAAAGACGGCCCAGTGAGATAACGAATTTGAACCACTTACCATGGTGTCAAAGGACAAAGCACACATGCTGGAAATGTGGCTGACTCTTGGGCACTGGGATACATGGAGTGACTCTGAGGACTTCTGGAGTTCATGTCTGGCTCTGCACTCTGCAGCTGGTTTCTCTGGGCTCTTATGAACCTATTATGCCTCAGTGTCTCTATCTGTAAAATGGAGGTGCTGGTGGCCTAGACTTCTTCAAGCTACCGTGTGGGTTCAATGAGATAATACATAGCATTTGCAATAGTGCCTGGATCACAGCAGGAACTTAGTAAGTGTGGGGTGTTATTATCGTTCCATTCTTTGATTCTTGTACTTGGAAGGGTATTACCATCATCCCGTCCTTTGACTTTTGTAATTTTTTCCCCTTTTGTGATTTTATATTTCAGGTACCTTATTTCTAGAAAATGTCTGGGAGAGTCCATTGTTAACCATCTCCTTTATGTAGTACTTAATTGGGTTTTTTTTTTAAATGCAGTCCTTTTAAAATTTATTTATTATTGTAAAAATTATATAAACATTTTACATAAATTTATGTAAAAATTAAATTTCAAATGCTTTGAGATACAATATCCACATGATAAATTCATTCATTTCAAAGGTATGACTGAGTATACTTTGTGGCATACATGTAGTCACAAAACCACTGCACTAATCAAGCCATGGACCAGTTCTGTCACCCCAGGAGTCCTCCAGCCCCTTTTTAGTCAATGTCCTCCCTCTGTCTCTGGGTCCTTAGCCACCACCTGTTTGCTTTCTGTAGTATGTTCCTCTCCTAGAGTTTCTTATAAATGGGTTAAACCACTGACAGGCTATCTTTATCTGTTTGTGGGCAGTTTTATTCTCTTTGTACTCAGTGTGATTTCCAATATGGCTGGGTATAAGTCTAACACCTTATTCCTCTTTGCCTCACCTGGTTTTTTTTCTATCTGTTCTTTCTTCCTTTTTGATCAATCATGTAGTTTTAGCATTTCATATTCAGATCTACTAACTTCTGGTTACGCATTCTTTTACTCTTCTTTCATTGGCTATCAGATCTGTGGTTCTCAATGAATGGTTTCTAGACGGGAGGCATCAAGATCACTTGAAACGTTCTTAGAAAATAGAACTTCGGCCGGGAGTGGTGCTGCATGCCTGCAATCTCAGCACTCAGGAAGCTGAGGCAGGAGGATTGCTGTGAGTTGGAGGTCCAGCTGAGCTATATAAAGGAGTTCAAGGCTAACCTAAATTATATAAGCAAGATCCTGGTTTTTGTTTTTTTTTAAAGCAAATTCTCAGGCCTTACCCTAGAATCATAAAAGATATGGAATCCAACAATCCGTGTGTAACAACTCCTACAGGAGATGTTAATCCCCACTCAAATTTGAGAGCCGTTTTGCCCTCAAAATCACTGTTGCCCTCAGGTAAGGGTAGCTGATTGTAAGCTTGGGTTTAGTCCTTCCTTTCCAGTTTGTTCCTATTTCTAGGGTATAGCCCTAGAGAGGTCTCAGTTGAATCCCCAAGGTGTTTATTGGGGCCTCGACTTTATCAGGCCCTGAACTCAAATTACAGCCCCGCCCCCAACCTAATTCCCCAGGCAGGGCAGCCCCGGGGAATCAGGGGCTCCAGAAGTCCAGCTCACATCTCTGTCTCTCTCTTTCCTCGGAAATCTTGCCATTTTGACCCCCAAGCTGTTGCTTTCTCATGAGTCTTTCGTGCCTTCATATTTTCCCCAGCCTCCGCCGGCAGTCTGGTGTGATACAAGTTGGTCGGTTGCAGCTGGAAGAGGAAGCCCCAGTCCTATTGTTCTGTTCCCACTAGAATTATGGAGTCAAATGAGCAGTTGGAACAGTTCGGTCCCTGGCACGTGGTAAAAGCTCAAAAAGTGTAAGTTATTGTTCTTCTGCTCCCAGAAGAATCCTGGGGACTATTGAGCTGCATTGTTAACAATGGACTCTCCCAGACATTTTCTAGATAAGGAAGCAAGCATTCCACAGTGAAACTACACCCAGCCAGGGGCTATAATTGGACTCCAGGGGATCCCAGGACAGTTCCCACCCTTGTCAGGCAGTGGAAACCCTTAAAGCTTGAGGGCCCAGCTGAGTTCTCAGCCCAGAAGGAACCGAGCCAGGCAGGGGCAGTGGCTGCACAGAGCTGCTTCTCTCCCTCTCCCCTTGCAGGGCCCTGACCACAGCCTCAACTGCAAAATCCGGAAAAATTTCTTTACCTTCAGAATTCCAGACCTCCTCGTGTCTTTCCTCTAGAGCAGAGCATATCCATGCATGTTGTGCTTACCCACAGGTACTCCAGCGATGGCACGAGTGTGGCAGGCTCACACAGGCCATGTGAAACCAGGCAGCAGGGGTGGCAGTGAGAATTGCTGTTTTTAATGCTGTCTACCTCTTCAGAGGACAGAGAAATGCAGCCCCAAGAAACAGGCTGAAAGGCCTGACCAGAGCAAGGGTGGAGAAGGCTGCTCCTAGAGACCTACTGCCCCCTCCTCTGGCCAGCACCTGCAGCTGGGTCTCCGAGATCAGGCCATGAACTCTAGAGTGGTCCTGTTAGAGGGTGAGGCTTGGTCATGGGGACACACAGCTATATAGAACCTAGGGGTTGGGCTGGGCTGTGAAAGGGTGCTGCAGTCACTAACTTGAGTTACTTTGTGAAAGTGAAGGGGTGTGTGTGTGTGTGTGTGTGTGTGTGTGTGTGTGTGTGTGTGTGTAGGTAGGCTTTAATACTGTGCTCAGCCACCAGCCACCAAGCCCATGAGGAACCTGGAGCCTGGGGAAGCTTTAAACTACTTTTAGATAATTTGGCTCAGAAGAAATCTATGCACTTAATTTTTTTCTGGTATAAAAGTAGTACATTCTCATTATTTTTAAAAAAGTAAAAAACCAGGGTGTAAAGGAGAAAATGAAAAGCACCTGTGCTCCATCCCTGCAGCTAATCACTGTTGACATCCTGGTGGAGTGGTGACTGCAGGCCCAAATGGTTTTCTTTTCTTCCTTCTCATGAGCCTGCAAGAGCATATCTCATGTCCTTACTCTGTATAAACCTGGGCGAAGGCCTTATACCACTGCATTGTCACCATCATCTATTTAACCTGTTTCCAGGGGTGGCAGTCTCTTGTTTTTCCACTGTGCCAATCCTGTGCCTTCCTGCATGAAGTGCTGGCACTGCACTCAGAGCGCTTAGGCTGTACTCCAGGAAAGGCCCATCTTGGCTGAGTGACCAGGAGAACCTGGCAGGAGCAGGAGGTGAACGGGGATGCAGCAGCCCTTGCCCACTTTGGACGTGCCCTGCAAATAGCCCTATGGGCTCCAGTTAACTCTCCACCGCTTCAGAGGCATCAGGCAGGAGGCCTCCTGTGAGCAGAGTGTAGGACAGCAGTTAGAGGCATTCATCAACTAAGACCTGAGGCTATCCACCCCACCCAAAGGTTCCGCACATCTCAGCCCACAAGGATGGTCACAGAGCAGTGCTTTGGCGAAGGACCCAGAGGCTCTAGGCACGGAGGACATACCTCAAGACCAGCTGGAGGAAAGGCTGAGGGGCTTCTGGGAGCCATGTTCTAGACTCCCAGAGGGTGGTGAGATGGGCCAGGGGCAGGGAAGGGGCAGGGCTAGGACGGGAGCTGGGAAGCCGGGAGATGACTACATGGCTGTGCTGCCCAGCTGGAAACCAGACACCTCACCTTTTCTCTTGCCACCCTCATCCGGCCCAAAGGGTGATGGTAGGGAGCAGTGACAGCGGCTTTCTTGGCGCTGGATGCTCATATCTCTCTGCCTCTTGAGAGGGGACTGGGAATCATGGAGCTCCACAGGGCATGGAATCATGGACTGTTAGTGCCACAATTGACAGTGGTGGCCATTTCCTCCACACTCATGGGAGAGACCAGGAGGGGCCAGGTCAACAGGCCAATAGGAGGTGGATGAGGAATGGAGCCCCAGAGTACCTGACTCCCAAACCCAGGGGCTGTGTGGTCATGTGCACTTCACTCCACACCTGAGAGTCACATCTGCTTGGAAAAGGGACAGCAGGACAGGGCTGAGGGTGTCTGCGAGGGTCAGAAGACACCAGGTTGGTGGGAATCTGCCCGGAGGAGCCCAGCACAAGCCCAATTCATGAGGCCTCTGCTTTGGACACTCCCAGCCCCTCACCTGCAAGAAACCTTCTGCACTCAAGCAGAGTCCAAGAGCTCCATGCGCTTTGGTGCTCAGGGGTCGTAGTTGGAGCTGAACCTGCACACCTCACCCAAGCCTGTGTGCTCTGTCACTGTAGGGTGGTAGGAGTGGGGTGTGGTTTCTGTCCCAGCTGAGTGACAGCTGCGTAGGACTCGCAACAGATTAACCCACCAGCAGGGCCCTCGGGCACATGACATTCCCAGCATCCCCAGCACCATCTGTGCCTTCTGCATAAGGTATTGGGCCCTTGGGCCACGTCTCCTTTTTGGTACCCCTCTGTGAGTCTGTGTCAAACATGTCTCGGCACTCCGCTGTGAGACAGCTCCTCCATCGGCAGGGATTCAGAGCCCAGAGCCCAGGGCAGCCTTTTCTTACACCTTTGCCATGACACAGGCAGCAGGGGAGGCTGCCCCTGGGGACAGGCCATCAGTGCTCCCGCTCCAGTCCTCCTGGGCCCCCTCCTGCCTTCACTGCCCTCTGTCCTGCCACCTCAGCCTTATGGCCGGAGCCACACTCTGTCCTCAGGCCTCTCAGGTTCCAGCTTCCTAGAATCCAGTCATGTCTCTTGGGGCAGAAATAGGAACATTCCTTTCCCAGGTTTTGCCTCTGGCTTCTTGATAGGTGTTACGGGGAAGAGGGGACAGAATACTCTGACCTGGGAGCAGACATCTGTCCCCATTTCTTTCCCTCTATCATTATCAGGGTCCCTGCTTCAAGGCCAGAAATGGCCTGGGGGAAAAGACAAATTCTGCAGGGCTGCAGCCTCTCCTGCTTCCCAGCCACAGCACACAGCTCAGCTATCTCACTGTTCCCTCCAGACAAGCTGGTGGTGTGGCGGGGACTATCACCTGTGTCTTACAGATGAGGAGACTCGGAAGGGCAAGCAGATTCACCATGGCACCAGGATCTTGGGATTCAGTCTTCAGACTAGAAATCCAGGGCAAGTCAGTGCCCATCACCGTCCAGCCTCATGAGGAGTCTGGGATGGGGAGCGTGGAGATCCCAGGGGACATATGGCCTGCCCTCCCTCTACACCCCACGCCCGCCTTCTATACCTCAGAGGTGTGGGTTTGCTCAAGGGCTGCTTCTTCTCTTCAGCCAGCCTCCCCAGTGCACAGTAGGTGCTCAGGTTGCCCGATGGACGGGAGGCAAGCAGCCCTCCAGTGTGTCTACAGTCTGTCCCTTCCATGTGCCTGTGCTCTGGCTGGGATGTGCAGGGCCAGACCTCAGCACACAGAAGCCCTGAGATCTGCAGGAACTTCCTGAGGTCATGCTTTGCTCTAGCGAGATTAGCCTACAGTGCACCTCCATGAGACTGAACCTGGGGAATAACATCTTCCCCTGGCAGGAACTGTCAGCTATGAGCTTGGATCACGTGCCAAGCTAAGCAAGGTCCCATTAGATCCTCCCAGCCACCAAGGCCTGCCACCTTTCCTTCATCTCCACTATCATCGAGCCACAGTTACCTCAGCTACTTGAAGCCATAGCAAAACTCCTCATGCATTCACAGCCCAGCCCTCTCCAATTCACTTTGCACACAAAGCCATAGAGAAGCTTCAGGATGCAAATCTCCTATCACCCTGATGAGATCCCTGAAACCCCTTTAGACCTCCGCAGGACTGCACAGTTTGACCCCCTACTCCATCGTATGCCTCCCGCTGGTCCCTGAGCCACACTAGCCTTCTTCCAAACTCTCATCCCTACCAACCTTAGTCCAATCCCAGCACCTTTGCATACATTCTTTCATCTGCATAAAGGTAGTCCCCATAGGTGTTAGTTTTCTGTTACTGTAACAAAATTCCTGAGATGATCCATACATAAAGAAGAAAGGTTTATTCAACTCACAGTTTCCAAGCGTTCAGTTCATAATCTGTTGGTCCTATTGCTCTACACAGGAGGTGTGCCTGTGGAGAGCATGCACTGTAGTCAGTCAGCTGCTCACCTTACAGTAGCCAGGGAACAAAAAGGAAAGAGAGGAAGAGACTAGCATTTCACATTCCCTTCAAGAGCACGGCCTCAGGACTCAATGGTCTGAATATTGGGCTTGAGTCTGCCTCCCAAGTCCACGCCCTTCCTAGTATCTGGGCTGCTGGCCTTGGTTCCCCCGAGCTCAGGCACATGTCACCTGTTGGCTGTCTTTGGTCCTTGGGTGCCTCCCCAGCAGTCTGAGTCTCTGCTGCTGGGTTTTGCTGCACAGGCTCTGGCCAAGGAAAGGAAGATTGCCATTGCTTGGACACTGGGTACGGACCTTTGACGATGCCTCCCAACTGGCTCCAGCCTGGAGGACTTGGCATCTCTGATAGGAGGAACAGGAGCCTGAACAAGAGGAGGATCTGGCGTGATCCTGAGGAGAACACTTGGAGAACAGATCACTGGCTCGGGGGAGATCACTAGAGCAGAACAAAGAGGGCCAGTGTGCCTGAACTCAGGCACAGGGAGAGGGGGTCTGCAGCACTGGAGGCCAGGGAGCCCAGGCCAGGATAACAGTGGGGGACAGGGAATGGAAAACCAGTGTCCAGATGTCCAGATGCCAGTGATGAACATGCGCACCCCAGAAAACTTCCTGTCATCTTTTACCAGATGGGGTCCCAAAAGTCTTCCACCATCATGCTGTATAAACATATGAGTTTTCCTATAATCATTCCTATAATCATTTAATATAATTTCCTATAATCATTCCTGCATGGTGTTTTGTCACTTTTATTGATTTGTCTTAATACACTCATAGAAGTATTTCTCATTTGAAAAAATGCATTTCTTTAATTGCTTTGGAGGCTATGCATTTTTCCTCTCTGCTGATTTACTGTTACTAAACATGTAATCCTTGCAAAAAAAAATTATCTTCTGCACTCAGCTGTAAGCTCCATGAAGACAAGAGAGCATCCTTCTCCCTCTCCCCTGCTTCTCACCTTTCTGATTGCTAGTTTCCCAGAACTGAGGCTCAACATAGATGTGTTGAGTGGATAAATGAGTAAACCACCCTCAGACGTGAGTAGAACCACTACCCCCACCTCACCGACAAAGAAACTGTGTTCTAAGAAGCAGCCAGCTCAAGGCCCCGAGATTGGCAAATGGTAAAGCAGAGTTTGAGCCAAGTCACACTGCAGAGCCTGCATTCTTAGCTTTTTCTTCTTCATCATTTTTTTTTTTTTTTTTTTTTTTTTTTGTGCCAGGGATCCAACTCACAACTTCATGTTTGCCAAGCAGGCACTTACACTGCTGAGCTGAACATCCGGCCTTCCTCCTCCTCCTTCTCTTCCCTCTCCCCTTCCCCTCCTCCCTCTCTTTTCTTCTTCTTCTTCCTCTTCTTCTTCTCCTCCTCCTCCTCCTTCTTCTCTTCTTTCTTCCTTCTTCTTCTTCTTCTCCTTCTTCTTCTCTCTCTTTTTTGGGGGCGCAGGGTGTCACTATGTAGTTCACGCTGACCTTGACCTTACTATGTAACTCAGACTGGCCTCCATGGTGATCCTCCTGCCCCAGCCTCTCGAGATCATGAATGCTAGGATTATAGGGCTCTCGGCCCCTTCTGCTTCTGACCTGGTGTCCCAGCCTCAGTCTGTCTGTGTTGCTCTCTCAACAGGTTCTGTGAGAATTGCTCTGCTGGACCAGGTTCCACTCAGCAGCTGTACCCAGAACCATGGAGAGCTTGAGTGAACTACAGAACCCACTGCTGCCCAGGGGGCCTGGCCCCCTCCATGGTCCCTACTCCTACCCCGAGGCCCCACCCAGCTGGTCCTGCCAGGAGAAACTGTACTCCTACCTCCTGGGTGGTGCTGGCCCTGCTCACGCCCACCAGCTCCTGGACCCAGGGTCCCTGCAGCTGGCCGTGGAAGCCTGGTACCGGCCCAGCTGCCTACTGGGGAGGGACAAGGTCAGGGAGCCCAGGGCAGGCAGCTGTGAGACCAGTTTCATGGAGGCCAGGGAGCCCCTGGCAGGACCCACAGAGCAGCGCACAGAACCTAGCCAAGCTGAGGAGGATGTCACCATCCAGACTGTGTCCTATGGTGTTCAAGAGGAGCTGCAGGACCAGGAGGATGACCAGGAGGAGGAGGTAAGCACGTGTGAGACTCAAAAGGCCCATTTCCAGAGGCCCTCACCAGACACTAGGATTGAACAGGCCTGGGTTGAGGTCCAGGCACCTTTTTGCCACCAGTGCAGCCCATACTTTGAGAAACACTAGCTTGGGTTGACTTTCAGTCCAACTGATAAATAGCAACCTCAAACATAGCATTATTATTTTGATGGATAATCATCTAAGTCCTTTTTTATTAATCTATTGGGTTCTTGTCTCTCAAAAAGATCTTGCTGGACATATTTTGTAACCTGATATTTCAATACTGCTCATGAAACAATATTTTCTACAAGGTGATTTTTAAAATTACACACTCTTCCATTGTGGGCTTTTCCTATCATTTATGAACTCAGTCTCCTGGCCACTAGGCTTTGAGAGTGGTTCTAATCTTTCACAACTGCTGTCCTGTGATGAACTTCTCCGGATACAAAGACTCGCATTCTTCCCTGGGGATAAAGTCTAAAGGCAGAATCATCCAATCATTGTAAAGGCTTTTGGTAGAAAGTGGTGAGACCAACCTACACTACCACCCACAGCAGAGGACACTATCCATTGTCCCACATCAATGCCTCCTGGGTATGAGTTTCACCTTTTTAAAATTCCTGCCATTGTGACAGGAGTCATCCTGCTAGGGTGACCTAGGGCCTGGCTTCCAAACTGCACTGTTTTGCAGAGCGATGGGACATCCACAGAAAGTGAAAGTGAAGACAACTTCCTCACGCTGCCCCCCAGGGACCACCTAGGACTCACCCTCTTCTCCATGCTCTGCTGCTTCTGGCCACTGGGCATCGCTGCCTTCTACTTCTCCCAGGGGGTAAGCGCACTTGGGGTCACCTAACTGCACCGGAGGGCTTGGCTCCCGAACTGTAGAATGGGGCCAGGGGCGTGGTGGGCTGGGCTGTCTTGCTGGCTGTGGTGCTGCTCTCTTTAATAGTGTGACTCTCTCCATAGACCAGCAAAGCCATCTCCAAAGGGGACTTCCGCCTGGCCAACACCACCTCCCGCAGGGCCCTCTTCCTGGCCACGCTCTCCATCGCCGTGGGGGCTGGTCTCTACGTGGCCGTGGTAGTGGCTCTAGCAGCTTACATGTCCCAGAATGGCCATGGCTAGCAGTCACCAGTAGGGCCTGCATCTTGATTCCTCTTGCCTACATGAGGAACCAGGCGGGCTCAGGACTCCACGGAGAGTTCTGGGCCTCGGAAAAAACCCACAGGAGAGGTTTGTTGGGATGGGGGTTCCCCGTCTGCAGCCTGCAGAGCTCAGCCTTCCTTTCTTCTCACTAGCACAGACCACGGGCACCACTCTCAGCCCAGGCTACAGAGGAGAAGCAGGAGAGATAGGGTTGCCCACCAGGTCACCCCACAGGGCCTAATCCAGCCTGTTCAGCCCATTCCTCACAGGAACTCCCACCTGCCCTGTCGGCAGCCCACTATTCACTCTCTCAACAGAGAAAGAACAGGAAGTTCCAGGGAAAGAGAGGGGCGCCAGGAACAGGGGACTTGCCCCAGCCCTTTCACCCACAGGGGTCTTCACCTGGGCACAGCCTGAATGGCTCAACTCTACTCTCTGCTCCTAACGCACAAGGTGCCCAAATCCAGCCAGTTGGGAAGGCAATAAGTAGAGACACAGGCACCCCCATTCCTCATGATTCTAGGGGCTACTCATCTCCCTGCAGGTGGGTAGATCCTGGCTGGAGAAGAGAAGTCTCTGAATGTAAACTCTGCACCCAGGCTGGGGATTTAGCTCAGCGGTGTAAGCGCCTGCCTGGCAAGCACGCAGTCATGAGTTCGACCCCCGGTACAAAAACAAAACAAAACAAAAAAACCCTCTGCATCTAGGAGGGCAGGCTCCTGGAGCTCCCCTGGTAGGAATAAAGGGTAGAGAGGATGACGGAGGCTGGAGGGCCCTGAAATACTGCTGGGCTGCATGGGCCTCCTCACTCTGCCACTGTCCCCTGCCCTCACATCCTTTCTGGGCTCCTCCTAGGAGCTCTAAACTGGTGCCCCCGACCCAGGAGACTGAGCATGCTAGGTGTCTCCCAGCCACTGAACAGGCGCAGGGCCCTAGGTCCAGGCCTGTGGGAAAGGCAGTGAACAGATCCCTGTGAGGAGTGAGTTTAAATGAGGGGAGGGATACAGGCAGCATGGGCTGCCTCCTAGAGGAGGTATCCCCCCATTGAGCCTAGAAGAACGAGTAAAATCCACCTAGGGGATTGGTTTCCACACAACCTCATCTGTTGGTGTGCAGAGCATCAGGCCTCCCAGCGGGCATTCCAAGCTGTTGGGATTCTGCCTGGAGCAACAGGATGGGGCAAAACTGTAACCATTTCTGAGGGCTCCACGGAAAGGAAGAAGGTCGAGCCTATGTCTCAAAGACCAGTAGTTTTCGATCCTGAATGCTTGGGAATTGGTGGTGGCACCAGCCCTGGAGCTCCTCCACTCAGGTCTGCTCGCTGCTCCACAGCCTCAAGCCAACAGGCAGAACTGTAGGGACATCAGACAGGCAGCAGTTGGGAAGGCAAGCATGTCGGGGCCCATGCACAGGACCCCATTGTGCATGATTGGGGCACCTGGTCATTCCCATACCCCACCCAGAGAGGGCTATGGCTCCCCACAGGCCATGCCTCGCCCATGCCCTCCCCCACCTCCAGCATTGCCCAATCCTCCACTTCCCGCATCACTGGCACTTTTAATGCCCCCTTGTTGTATTTATGTATCCTGATAATAAACTTTTCTGTAACATCTGGTGCCCTCAGAGCCTCTTGCTGTCCTTGCCTGCCCACCTTTGCTTGCCTCCCATTCTGGAGGCTGTTCCTCAGGACACAGCTCTGTCACGGGTCTGCCTCCCCTGACCGCAGCAGCCTCTGAAGACAGGCTTGCAAATGGACCTCAGAAGGGTGAGTGTCCAGAGCCCATGCCGCCTCAGAGCTCTGCAGCTTAGAGCCAAGCTGGATGCAGGCTGATGGCTTGCACTTGACTTTAAGCAGGACCAAGCAGGATGTGTGTCTGAGGGAAAAACTCCCTCCTAGGCCAGCAGCCTTGGAGGTCAGGGAGGAAAGGCTGTGAGCCAGGGTGACTTAAGCCCCAGTATCTTTGTATTAGACCAGAGCTAACTGGCCTCAGGGTCATTGGGTTTTGGAGGCCTTGGAAAGGTATACAGCCCTTGGGCACACACTTGCAAGATACAACTTTTCACATCCACATGTACAGACACGCACACTCGTACACGTACACGTACACACGCGCGCGCGCACACACACACACTGCACGGGTTAGGGCCTCTGAACAGAGATGAGCACACAGCATGCATTTGTAAAAGGGACTGGGCAGGTCTGGCAGAGGCCGTGATGCAGACTTAAAGGACAGTCGAGCCAACCAGGATGCCCTTCAGGCTTGACCCAAGGTGGGGTGAAGGATCTGTCATTGGATGTGGATCATCCAAAAAGGGGGTGTGACTATGGGTGGGGTGGCTTTCTTTAGCCAAGATGGCCCCTAAAGGACCCTACCCTGAAGGCTGCTGTGGGACCTGCAGCATCTGGAGGGGTTTCCAGTTGGCTTTCAGCCAACTACTGACAGGAGTCAGTGCATAAAAGCCTCCATGTCTCGGACCTTGGGTGGGAGAAGACTAGTTGCAGTCCACACCGGTTCCAGGGGTCCCCAGTGGGAATGAACGCTGGCGCCCACAGCAGCAGTCTACATGGCAGCCTGCTCTCTCTGGTCTTCTGTGGTCTTCTCCATTCCTGAGGACCACTCTCTGGTAACCTCCCTGCAACTGAGTCCTTGTCTCACAGTTGGCTTCTGGGGACCCACAGCCAAGCACACACTTGCACGTTCACAGGCACACGTATCAGTGCAGTGTATACATGGACCATGCACACCTTCATGCACAGGCACAGCCCACAGCTTCATGGGGAAGGGGTGAAGGAGGGGGAGGTTGAAAATTATCACCCAGCCCTGTCCATCCTGTCACCAGGCTGGCTCCAGGCACCGGAATGGGCACTGGGCTACAGGGCCCCTCGTGCAGGACATGCTTGGGGACTCAGGTTGTCCCCCCAGCCCAGCCTATTAGCCCCTCCTTCCTCCAGTGTGCTGTTCCAGGCTTAGGGAGAGGAAGAGAAGCTAAATGACTTTGGTTTTGTTTGGGTTTTGCTTTGAGATGGGCCCTTACTAGATTGCTCAAGCTGGTTTCAAATTCTTGGGCCTAAGTGATCCTCCTGACTCAGCCTCCTGAGTAGCTGAGACTAAGGTATTTGCCACCTAACCAGCTTGATTTACTATTTTCAGCTCTAGTCCTGCCCAGCCCCTTTCACCCCTATACCTACCCTCAGCTGCAAATTCAGGCTCCACAGGAAAAAATGGAATCAGCAAAAAGCCTGGGGACTTCTCCCTCCTTCCTGGGCCTGTCCTTGCAGTGCTCACAGGGGTGGGGGGGTTGACACTTCCCCTTCTGGATGAGGCCTGCCTCTGGCATGCCTGGGGCACTTTAGGCCTCTTGCTTCCCAGCTCTGCCTGTGTCTCCTGCCTGAGGCTCTTGGGAGGCTGGAGGGTTTTATTTCCTCCCCTTCTGGCTGGTTCTGAGGCTGGCAAGGGGAGACTGGGGGCAGGGAGGGTCCCCTGGGTAAAGGTGCCCGTGATGGCTGCAGTACCAGTGCATCTGTGCAAATATTACCAATTATTTTCTTCACTCTAAACACCCAGCAGGAAGGCAGGGAAGCAACCAACCCAAACTGTTTAAAATAGAAACTAAAATTGCTGCACAGGGAAGTCGGGGCAGCTGACAGAGCAAAGGCCCTGCACCAAGCATGCGAGGTCTCCCCAGCCAGTTGTCTTTAAATTGCACTTGCTCTCACAGCCCCCACCTCCAAACCTCACCTCAATTTCTCTTCCACGGACTAGGAGGAATCAGGTGGAAAACCTTACCAAGGAGATGAGGGACTTAGTCAGGGAGGGGGTGCCAAGCTGTACCCTGTGCTAGGGAGGGAAGAGAGCTTAGGAAGGTGGCCACAGAAGGATCAACCCTGGCCTGTGGTTGGCAGCTGCTGGGCAAGCTCCTGCCCTGGGTAGGATAGGGTCTGGGGTGCCATACGGAATGGGGGGAGCCTCTTTTGTGGTGCCTTAGCCCCAGGGCCAGGGCCAGAGAGTGACACCTGACCTGCCCACTCTGATGAACTCTTCTATCAGCAGAAATGAAGGAACCTGCACCTGCACCCCTCTAGCCTCCTTCATTCCCTCCCTCCGCTGATGGACAGCAGGTCACAGCGCAGCTACACAGGTTGTCACAGCGGTGACACACTTCCATGCTAGTTAATAAATAGGCTCTGTCCTGCCCCAACCCCTCCAAATGTCTCCCTTTCTGCTCCCTTCATCTCTCTCCAGGACACCAGGCACCAGCCTGGGGTGAAAGGGTTAGCAGGTGACACAGCAGCCCCTCCCCAAATGCATCAGTCCACACCTGGGCAGCTCTGATTGTTAAACATCTTCAATGTCACCCTGCCCCCTACAGACAGACAGATACACACACACACACACACACACACACACACACACACACACACGGACATGGATGTCTTTGTACCATCTCCTATGTGCCCTGTACCCCCTGCAGCCTTCCAGAGACACAGCACAAATCCTGGGCACAGCCAGACCCAAGCTCCTCTCAGGGCAGGGTGGGGATGAGGTGCGGGGCTGCGGACATGGCCAAGCCCTAAGGTGGGGACCCTGGAATGCTGCACTGTGAAGGCACCTGGAGCTCATCCGGCCACCATCTCTCCCATTAAAGAAGAGCCCACCAAGGCCCAGAGTGGGCAGTGAGCTGCTCAGGCCACACAGCAGGTTCTCAGCAAGACTAGGTTAGCGACGACTGCCCAGTGTGCCTGCTGCGGAGACACAGAAAAACCAGTGACAAGTGCCACCTGCCGCCCCGTGCATATTAACAGCCCTACTTCCCTGCCTTCCCTTCCTGGCCACTCTTCTTCAAAGGCTTCCCTGCCAGTCCCTGGGGCTGACACTGGCCCTTCTATTTTTGGTGGCGTGACTCGGGTGGGGCAGGCGGCTGACAATCTTGCTGCCTCTGCCCTGAACCCTCCCAGGGGCTCTCACATCCGATGTGTGGCAGGGAGAGGCACAGCTCTGTGCAGAATGAGTCTCCCTGGGAAGACTCAGATGTTCAGCACAAAAATAAAAGGTGCCCGTGCCACTGCCTGCCCTCCCGAACACATCAACCTCGCCCTCCGCTGGCCTTCACTGCTCTCCTGCTGAAGAGCCAGGCACCAGGCGCCAGGCAGGCTTCAAAGCCAACTCCAGCTCCATGAGGAAATGACAGAAACTCCCAAAGGCCATGGCACACCCACATACACGCACACAAAACCAGACACAGCCTGGAAAGGGACAAAGGAATCAGCAGCCACAGGGAGCAGGGCCAGCAGGAGACAGGAACACAAAGGACCTTCTCACAGGCTCGCTCAATCACGGAGGCAGGTGCTCCTGCCCCAGACACGGAGCCTGGGGCAGGCAGGAGCCGACAGCCAGGTGCACGACAGCAAGGCCTCCCGGAGCCTGCTGTGGTTCCCCCCTTACCACTGCCTGTGTCTCTTCTGAAGCCGACTTCTGGCCATTCCTTCCTCATGTCCCCCTCCAGTCCTGCCCTTAACCTGCTTAGAGCTGGTAAGCACAATGGCTAGAGAATTGCATAAATCAACACTTACTTGGCCTCAATAATAGTACTGAGCATACATGGAAATGCTGGGGAACAAACCCCAGGCCTCATGCATGGTGAGTCCCCTACCACTGAGCCACACCCCCAGCCCACTATATGAAATTTCTTTTTTTTTCTTTTCTTTTTTTTTTTTTCTTTTTTTTTTTTTTTTGTATTTTTACTGGTACCAGGGATCAAACTCACGACCACGCGCTTGCAAGGCAGGCGCTTATGCCACTGAGCTAAATCCCCAGCCCCAAAATTTCTTAAAAATATCTAAATGACTTCCCTACCAGAGTTCCTCACCTCCACACCTGATGATTTCAATAGCCAGACAGAGTAAAGCCAAAGGCCTAAGTCAAAGTCCAGACTAAAGCCGAAGTCCAGGCCACTATTCATCCCTGAGCTCACAGAATAAATACTGAGGTCTGTTTCCCATCTCCCTGCCTTTGTGCAGGTGAGGGATTCCTTTATCTGCTGCCACTCCCTCCCTTAAAATCTTCCAAGATAAGGTTCATGCAGTCTTTTCTGACAACACTCACCTTATCTCAAGAAGAACTAAAACCTCATTTAGGATTCTATGCCACATCTGCTCCTGTGGACACAGCAGCAGCTCTCCTGTGTAGGATCTGCTCCGCTGGGCCTGGCACAGGCCTGCACGCAGTGGACGCTGCTCTTTCCTTGGGAATGTGTCTGGGGAGAAGCTGCTTCCCATGTGGCGGAGATAGTCAGGGTCAGGGATTTCACCTTCAAAGGGAGAATTACCCTCCTCCCGGGCAGGTAGGAGCAGGGAGAAGACCCCTAGCAGGGAGGAGCTTACAATGTTAAAGAGGAAGGAAGAAATCAGAGACAGTGGTGTGGCCCCGGGGGACCCAACCCGCTGGTATCTGCACAGGAACACGCACAGAACATACCTCCTCCACTTGCCTTCTATCTGGGAAACCACACAGCCCACCCTGCAGGCCAGCACCCTGAAAGAAGACACAAACAGAGGCACAAAGGGGCCACAGTGGCTACTTGTCTCCCCTCCCTGGACTGGACTAAAGAG